CCTGTACTCAGCACTGGTGAGGCCGCCCCTCGATTCCTGTGTTCAGTTTTGGGCCCCTCACTACAAAAAGGACATTGAATGACTCGAGCGTGTCCAGAGAAGGGCAACGAAGCTGGTGCAGGGTCTGGAGCACAGGTCACACGAGGAGCAGTTGAGGGAACTGGGGGTGTTTAGTCTGGAGAAGAGGAGGCTGAGGGGAGACCTCATCGCCCTCTACAGCTCCCTGAAAGGAGGGTGCAGAGAGCTGGGGATGAGCCTCTTTAACCAAGTAACAAGTGATAGGACAGGAGGGAATGGCCTCAAGTTGCACCAGGGAAGGTTTAGACTGGATATTAGGAGGTACTTCGTTCCAGAAGGGGTTGTTAGGTGTTGGAATGGGCTGCCCAGGGCATAGTCCCAATCCCTAGATGTGTTTAAGAGTCAGGTTGACATAGTGCTGAGGGATCTGGTGTAGTTGGGAACTGTCAGTGCTAGGTTAATGGTTGTACTAGATGATCTTCAGGGTCTTTTCCAACCAAGGTGTCTCTGTGATTCTATAGGGTAAGAAATCTGTTCCTTCCACATATAAAATTACATCAGCAGTTAGATTGTTTTCAATTAAATGGCAGACATAATGTCCTTTTAAAGTAATTTTTATTACTTTGGATTTAAAATGTGGCTGACAGTGGCAAGGTAGCAAGTGTCTAGAGGAGGGCAATAAAGCTGGTGGAAGGGTTGGAAGCAATGACCTGTGAGGAGTGGTTAAGGGCTCTGGGCTTGTCTAGTCTATGAGACAAGGAGGCTTTGTCTAGGAGAAAAGGCTTCGTCCTTTGTCTAGGAGAAAAGGAGGCTGAAGGATGACCTCACTGCTCTCTACAGCTTCCTGAGGAGGGGAGGTGGAGAGGGAGGTGCTGATATGTGCCAGGTGAGGTTCAGACTTGATATTAGTAAGCATTTCTTTAATGAGGATGGTGGTCAAATTCTAGACCTGGCTTCCTAGAGAGAGGTGGTTGATTCCCTGAGCCTGTCAGTATTTGAGGCGTTTGGACAATGCTCTTAATACTATGCTTTAACTTCGGTCAACCCTGAATTGGTCAGGCAGTTGGACTAGATGATTGTTGTAGGTCCCTTCCAACTCTAGTCTAGTCTTAGGATACTGAAGCCAGGTTCAGTGTGGGAACCAGAATGCTTTAAAAGTTGTGTCATTTGTTAAAAGTTATGTCACTGGTGGTTTTCTTGCAATCAGCAAAAACTATTGTATGAGGAAATAATTTTCATAATCACTTGTGGTATTTAGATGTGGCTAGGAAATGAAATACTGAATTTAACAAGACTTCATCAGTCAGAAAGGTCCCCAAATCAATTCAATGGGTAATACAGAATAATCAATTATAAAGCAAGTTCTACAAGCTGTGTCTTTCCTATTCAGTGATGGAGACTTGGGAAATTGAACAATATATGAAGAAATGCTTAATAGAAGAGAAGGGGAAATTAGAGGGTTGTCTCCAAAAGCAGGAGGCAACAAATTTTACTCAAGAATTCACTGTAAATTATGTAATATATTCTTCAGAATTGGGAATTATTTACCCCGAATATACTTAATTACATTGGCATGATATATCACTGTAAGGGTAGTCTTTTTCTTCTGTCATTTCTGGGTTTTAAAATTATTTGCTTTAATTTAAGAAGTGCTTAGTCCTTATCAAAATTCACTTAAGAGAAAGATTATGCTGAGGTTCCACTAGTATTCCCCCCACTTAATACTCTGTGGAAGCAGATTTAAGTC